CCCTGTTCGTGCCTGAGCCGGTCCCGCCTGGACCGGTTGGACCGGTCTAACAGATCGGTTGGGTGTGAAGGGGAGGTGTGTTGGTGGGATGGAGTTGGCAGGCGGCAAGGGGGGATTTGCTAGGGAGGACCGACAGCTAAGGGGTTAGGAAACCCTAGGCCGGCGGCTAGGAGGAAGGAGAAGGGAGAAATGAAACAAAAAGGAAGAAAGAAAATTAAAGTCATGAACCCAGATGCTTCTAAGGTAGGTGGGTGATCCGGTTCCCTCCCCAAGTGCTCTCTCCAAAGCTCTCAACCTCTCAAAATAAAGAGTTGCAGGAATTTTTATTATTATCATTCATTAACCCTCAAAGAAGGAGGGGGGCTTTAAATAGCCCATACAATGAGAAAATATAAAGTACTACTATGCCCCTAGGCTTACACATGTGTAAACCCTTAAGTAAGGGTAAACGTGGAAAATCATAATTAAACTTCTTAAACAAAACTAATACATCAATAATAAATATGAAAATCAAAAGTAAAGCGGTGCAATCGTGTGGTCGTAGATCGACGGCCACATCTCTGATAAACTTTCCATTTCCTGATGTCCTCATCAAAATATTTGGTTTATAAGTTTATTTTTTAAATTATGAGATTATATGCCAATCTAAGGATAGGAAATGCACATTGAATTGCGAGCTTTTAAGCATTTTTTGTCAAAATTGTTTGATAGTTTAGTAATAAAATTTTATAAAAATGTCAAACAATTTAATTTTATCTTAGGACAAAAAGCTATTTTGATTAATAATCCTATCTTGATCTTTTACCTATAATTTTTACACAAAAATATTAGGAGCTATGTAATAGTTTAGCTAGGATATATTTTTAGTCAAAGACATGCCAATAAAATATGCTAGCTGTTAGCTAGGATATATTTAAAAACCATTGAGTAGGGTACACTTCATTGGGCACAAGCTAGCTGTTAGCTAAGGCCGACTTTAAATTATCTCCTTAAACAAAAGCTCGTCAGCCTCGTCCCAAGTTTATAAGTTTCCCTTAAATGAATCAATCTATGGTTTCCAACAAGGATCTTTCAGCTAGTTTGGTTCAACTACCTCCTCTTACCAAAAGATTAAGGACCATGACTATTTGGGACAACGAAACTATGAGGTCTTGAATGGTTTCATCATCATTCACCCCACCATCCATTTTATGTTTATGGTGACAAATTTTCAATCCTAAATAAATTTAGTGCTACTTTATGTTAAATATTTAGTGCCTATGTAACAACTAGCTCTGATAAAAAATTCTCTCTCATCATCTAGAGCGTAAACTATAGTTGCTTACACCTATGAGAAACTTGGAATCAAATCTTAAGGTCTTTGTAAAATGAGGGCAAAATTTTTGGGTAATGTCTTATCTTCTAACTAGACGTCCTTTTGAAAATTTAACCCAGCATGTCTTAAACTCTCTTAGTAGAGTCGGGGCACAAATTTTTTGGAGCCCACATCGAGCCACTAATTTTTATTTTTTTATGAAACTCAATAATTATGAGAGTAATTTTTTTGGTGGCATGAAATTGCGTCTTAATTTCAGAGACTAAAATGACATCAAGAACCAATGAGCCCGTTTGCATCACTGTGCCCCTTATATATATATATATATTTGTAGTTAGGAATATGCATGGTCGTCTTATTCTTGGTGTAATGAAATTCCATTGCCATGTCATAATTGAGGAATCATTTACATCCCAAGCATTAAAATTGAAATTTTCTTAGAAGATGGCCTAGCTTTTCTTTTATTTTAAAAAAGGTTCTCACAATTTGGGGCAAAGTAGATAAATTTTTCATTCAATCTAATTGAAGGTTCAAGATTTGATACTCACCTCTTAAGGACTGAGAGTTTTGGTTTGATCCACATACCCATTTGACTAGTAAACAACTTCTGATATATAAGACAGTCTTCCTAGATTTGATATTTTCCCTCTTTTTTCTTGTTATTATTGGGTTGGTTGTCGTTTGCCTGCTGCTTTTTTGTTTCTTAAGATTGTTTGGTTGCCTCCTGCTAGAGATAGGTCTCATGGTGGAGGCTGCAACCAACAGTGAAGGTAAGTTGGCTACACATGCTGTCACTAAAGAATAGTGGTATGGGAAGCTTTGGTGAAATCAGCAGGGAGGACACAGAGGAAGATGAGGGGAATGCCCAGGAATTACTTTCCTGGGGCTCTGATTTTGTGCAAAAGAGGAATGATTTGAATTCTTATGTTTCATTGAGAATCAAGCAACCTTTGCTATACAACATGATTTTATGCTATAATTGATAATTTATTGTTAGGAGGCAACTAATTATGTAGTGATTTCTTGATAATTATTATTAGGAAAGAATATATAAATTATTATATTTTTTATATCATTTATATCTGATTTCTGAAGATAAAATAGTAAAGAGGGTGGTACTTTTGGGATAGCTGAAGACAGTCAACGTTCACGGATGTTGACATCGGTTCTACTTGTTTGTGTAGAATTTGACATTCATAAAATTCAGGTCTTAATCCCAAATATTTTGGGAAGGCTGTTGTTGGTGATTGATAAAGAATGGTTTTTGATCTTTAAGGAAAGATGAAGCAAATATCCCATTAATCGCAATGCAAGAATAATTTGTAGCATGAATCTATCCTTTTGATTGCAACAAATATTTTTAGAGTGTTCAGGAAGGTAGGATTTATCTTTTTAATTTTCCATTTTATCCACTTTTTCATTAAACAATATTTATTTTGCTATTACTGTGATGGCGTTCACTTGTATGTAAGAGATGCTCATCTTTATTTAAAAAAATGAGAAAATTTTTGGAAGGAACTTTCATGAATTATTAGGATTGCGTTAATCATGACTACTTGCTGCTGTCATTTTATGCATTAAATCATATTTTATCTCTTATCTAATCTTCCGAGATTTGGGATCATCAGCCTTATCGCCATTACTTGGTTCTGACCAAAGCCTTATCTCCATGCATTTCTTTGAAATGTTGCATGTGGTGTTGATTGTATGAAAGTTTTTTTCATGCAAAGTTAACCAAAGCTTAGTTCTGAAATTTTAAGGCATTCTTCTCCAGGCTGTTTTTGATTCTTTAAGGAAATATGATGGAAAGGATTTTAGGCAATTGCTTCCGGGCGAATATATTCAAATGGCTGGTCGTGCAGGTAGAAGAGGACTTGATGACATTGGTACAGTTATACTAATGTGTCGTGATGATATTCCGGAAGAGAGTGATCTGAAGCATGTCATGGTTGGAAAACCAACCAAGCTGGAATCTCAGTTTCGGTTAACTTACACCATGATTCTACATCTCCTTCGTGTTGAAGAACTTAAGGTATATAATTCTTAATGATTTTAGGTTATGATGAATATTTTATCACAGTTGGATGCAGTGCAAAATTTATTTAATTGTTTTTTGTTGGTGTTGAGTGCTGCCTTTTGGGGTAGATGCTTCTTTTGCTTTTTAGATGGGACTATGGCTATATGGAGATACTTTTTCAAACTTTGAACCTAAAGTTTAAATAGTGAACCTGTTATGTAGAGCTGAAGTGCAAGCTTTGAAAAATTAATCAAAGCCAATCATGAAATTTTATTTAGTTGAATATGCATTATAGTATTCAAAGGTTAAGACATTCCAAATATTTTTCAAACTATTTGAATTTGAATGATTCAATGTGCTCAAGTATAAATAATATATATATATAG